TTGGTGAAAACCAAGGAGAACTTGCCACATGATAACCTCATTATGAGAATCTCAGAGTTAGGGCAAGTACCTGAATTGGGAGCAGAGTGTAATTCAGTCTACCATGATGTGGGTCTTCCTAGGACTTGCTCTTCCAGGGACACCAGGTGGTTGCAGCAGATTCAGGTGTCACCCTAGATTTGATTCTCAGAGAGAGAAACCTGAGCGTCCTTCACTGGGTCAGTTGATAATAAGATTTCCATTTAGTCAATCAGATGACATCTCTTTCATGAATTGAATTATGTCACTCAAAATGGGATGTCTGAGTTCTAATTCTCTCACTTGTGCCCTTAGCTTAAATGACAGAAGGGTAACTGTTGCATAGGTAAATCATCTTTGAGGAGGGGTAGCTTATCCTTGACAATCTGGGTGAGCCTGTAAATCATTCCATTAGAATACTGATGGGATGATTAGGTACTAATTAGTCATTTGGTGATTCTCTGTGCGGTACTTTGAAAGTTTGTCCTTTCAAAGGTCACATTGAAATGCAATTGTCATTGTAGTAGTTTTGAGAACTGGGGACCTTAGAGGTGCTTAGGCCAAGAGAGGTCTGCCCTCATCAAAAGATCAATGATGCCATACAAAGGGCTTTCGGGGTGGGGGTTTGTCTTCATGTGCTGTGTTTCCATGTGAGAACACATTGGTGTCTTCTGCAGGATGCCGTATTCAAGGCACCAGCTTGTAAGCAGAGACAGGACCCTTAGCCAGACTCTAAACTTCCTGTAGCCTTGAATTTAAACTCATGTCACCCAGAACTGTGAGACAAGATATTCCTGTTCTTCTTAAAAATTACCTGGTCTGTGCTATTCTGTAATAGCAGCATGGAATAKATTAAGATACTATTTCAGAATTACTTTCTTCTCTGCTTAAATTTTGATTTGCAGATCTTACGTGAGTGGGAATGAGTTCCCCCTTATTTCTGTCTGTGACTTTACACTTTTTTCAATAACAAAGGTTCTCAGAGATTTTCACCAATTATCAATTACTTCTCTTGCCCTATGTTAACTTTAATGATTCCTCTGCTTGCCATTTTAAATGTACAAAAATGGCCAGCCAAGAAGGCAGCAGGTAGCACAGTTCACTTGCTTCTCGGTAGATTTTCTGAAATCTTCAGCTGTCCTAAGTCATGTTTATAACCCAAGACAGTTCAACAATTTCAGTTTGCCCACATTTTCCAAATATTGAAGTCCCACTTGAAGCCCCAGGCTTCAAGCACCTAATCTCTTCTAGAATGTTTAGCCCTGTTACATGGAGGCAGTAACATTTTATCCATATGGCTATAAATTCTTTGAGCCCCTTGATAATCGCAACCACTTTTTGTGTTTGAATTCATTTTGAGGGGGTATGGAGAAAAACTTATATGTTGTGATATGAGAACCAGCTATTTTATTTAAACTTTATTGATTATTTCATGTGTTTGAAATTAATGGGGATAAGAAGGTATAGACTGACATAATAATGCCATCTTGTCTTGGGCCATTATCAAATAGTATASTCAAGCACCATTGATTTAAAAAGAAGCTCATTTAGAAAGATTTAACAAGGAGTGAAATGTATGATAAACCTGTGAAAATATTGAACTATTTAAAGATGAAATTTTGTAATTTAGTTTTAACATGGAGATGGGTCTTCTCCTAACCATGGTTGAAATCTGTGTTTACTTGGGGGAAGGATAAACTGCATTGCCCTTGATGTAATGTCCTATAACTCTATAAAAAAACCAAGAGTCCCAAGTTCATGGGTTGTACTTATTTATTTACCTTTATGTGAAATAAAATGTAACCAGGCACTWGGATTGTGATGAAAATTTTGATGAAAATTAAAAACACAGTTATGAAGTTCTAGAAAGCATCAACCCATATGTCTGTATCAATAACAGTCAGAATGAGCTACAGATTGCAGGTGGAATCTGATGAATCTAATGTCCATAATGAAGATTAAGGCTCAGGAAACATTCAGTGATTCTTAGAGAAAGTTTGAGTGCTTGCATTTTTACATTATCTTAGCTGTATTTAGAAATATGTTGTGTACTCCCACATATAAAATACTTCCATAATAAAACTACAATCAGGATTTAGAGAGGCCACTGCTTCTACTGAGGCAAAAAAAAAAAAACAAACCAAGACTGGGATAAAGTTAGAGAAGGGTGGTATGTGCATGTGTGTGAGTATGTGAAACGTGGCTGAGAGAGGCAGGCGGTGAGAAGTGGATGAGTCACTTGGTTTTGCAGAGCGAGGGACTCAGCCATAATGAATTCTGTTTGTWGAGTCTTGGCCTTTAAGGATTTACAGTGCCATAGGATCCAAATAACAATAATGGCTTTTGTCTAATAAGGAGCTTTGGACACTGAGTCCTCAGGGATGCAGAAACTGCAAATTCCCTGTGACCAGTCAGGAAACAAGAGCTGGGAATCCCCTCAGAATTCATCTATTTGGCTTGAGCTCAGAGTCTCACTCTGCCCCTCTGCCTTCCTGAGGACAGATCTTCGGTGTCCATCCACCATCCAGGGGAGATGACCATGATCACTGCACAATGATGCCAGCCAGGTAACCTGAAGTCCCTTAGGCAATGGGAAGGAAGCAGGAGTTGAGTACAGTTAGATCCTGGTGATGCCGCTGTGAGGAAAATACCTGAGGATGATCCAGACCAAGTCTCCCAGGGGGTTCTGAGCCTGGCTGTCTGACACCATTGTGACATGTTCCTTGGTACCTTGTAAACTGATTCAACACAGCTCTCAGTCTGGTGGTTTTCTCTGTCTATATAATGACAAGTACCRTTTTCCTCTTCAGAATAAACCTTCCATTTTCAAAAAGGATGGATGTAACCAATTCTCCGGCATTTTCTTGTGTCCTTTGGGTGGAGGAGGGGAGGTGTGTCAGTCAACTTTACCTTATCTTTCTATCACCTGTCCCACATCGTTTTGCAGAACAACTTGGGTGTCATCTCTGTTTACTGGCTGTGAGGACTTTGGGGAAGGATGCAGAGACCTAGGCAGACCCAGTAAGCGATTTCCCTTCTCTACTTGACTATTTTTAATTGTGACAGCAATAGACTATTTTTAATTGTGACAGCAACAGAGAGTGTATAATCATAGTTTAAAATATACTGCATTCACCCTTTCCCAGAACTCACAAATAATAACTCCATTATTATCAGTTTAATCATTTTTAATTAAAAATGATATGTACTGAAGGCATCATTACATATTTCACCATATTTTGTCATCTCTTCTCAGAAGCAAGACCAACACATTTTTCCTTGTGCATTTTTTATTTTATATGCATCCATCTGTATATGTAGGGTAAAAGGAAACTGTATAACATCAGGCGGGCAGAAAACAGAAATAAGTTGAGATGTAATAACAGAGCAGAACACTCTGTGGTAGTTAAAGTTAATGAAATTATCAACAGTAATTTTTTAAAGAGAGAGAGAGAGAGAGAGAGAGAGAGAGAGATAGAGAGAGATATTTTTTTAATATTTATTTTTTAGTTTTTGGTGGACACAACATCTTTGTTTGTATGTGGTGCTGAGGATCGAACCTGGACCGTACATATGCCAGGCAAGCTCGCTACCACTTGAGCCACATCCCCAGCCCCTCAACAGTAATTTTTAAAAATCACACAAGAAAGTCAGTTGTAAATGACATGAACAATATGATGCTTGTAATATAGACCTTTGTGTGTGTACAATTGCTGTGGAAAAGTAGTATACAATACAATAAAAACCATAAGGGCATCACATATATGCACTAGTTAACTTATAACTGGTTACCCTGGGGAATGAAAAGAATATGATTGTATGAGCACATGCCTTTACATACACGGTACACATGTTTTCTTTCGTGCAATGATAAGGCCTAAAGGGAAAGTGGAGAAGGGTGTGAATTTGATAATGTTGACTGGTGGCTACTCAGTTCTTTGTTGTTATTTTCAATACTTTTTGTTGTGCTAGAAAAATCTACAATAGACAAAACATCCCCAAACAGGTTTGATAAGTAAATATTTTTTTTTCATGAATCGCCCTATGTATCATGAAATGTTTACTCTCTTGTAACTTTTCAATGCTTATACTGATTCATAATCTAATGTGTTTTCTTCATTCAAATCATTTTAATTGTACCATGTCCATGCAGAATGAATCGTGAAGCGATGACTATTGACTTCCTTTCCTCTGAACATGACCAAGACTCCCATGAGGAAATTAACATCAAATATGCTGCCCTTCAAATTTGCAGTTATAATTCCAGGGATGTTTTGTCTGTCCTCTTGTCTCAATTTGTCCCACTGACAACTTCCCTCCTAGTCAGGAAACATGCCAGATGCATGTGTTGTAACACAGAAAATGTCCCAATAGGAAATGTCATGGTGAGGGCCCCAGGTGCTGTGTGAGTGCTGGCCCACTTGGGTCTGTCCATCTCTCCTCATTGTAACAACTCTGTGAGTTGTATGACAGGCCCGGTGATAGCAACGAGAATATTGGGGCTATTTAAAGAGATGAAGAATTCATTTCTATTTACAAAGCAAGTGCTGGAGTCTTAATTTCATTCAGAGTGTGTGAGCCTAAGAATTACCCCAAGTGACTGAGGTGCTGAAGGCCACTCGGTCAGATTCTCCAGTGACATTCCTGTTAGAATGTYTCATGCTAATGCTATTCGGAATGTCCCTACTTTCTAAGCATCAGATTCTTGCTACTTTCTATTCCTTTTTAAGAGCTTATATTTTTTTCATTCCTTTTTTTTCTATTTAGTTATTTCTGTTTCTTTTAATCATTGGCCACCTACAACCTTAGTGGAAAAACTTCCCTAAGAAAGCTGATATGGGGCATACTTCATGATTGTATTTATGTATTTCTGTTTGTTTGAAGGCGCAACATTGTTCTGAATGAAAAGAGCCATCTCTAAGTCATAGCACAGTGTAAATGGGTTTGTGCTCACTTAAATTTGGGGTGAATTAGTGTGTCCAATGACAAAGGTGAGGGAAGCAGGGAAGGAGGGATAAGCAGAAGAAAGGATTTCAATATTCACCTAGGTTAAAAATACAGAAGAGGGTTTACCTTGATCAGCTATTCTCAAATATGGCCAAGTGTGGGAGGGCTCGTTAAGTTGCTCATTGGGGTCCCCCACCTGGAGCTTGTTGTCAGTAAGAATGGAGTGTGTGCAGGCAATCAGATTTCTAACAAGTTCCTAGGTGATGCTCCTAATGCTGTGACCCTGCACTAAGGATTGTATTGTCCTATCACCCATCTTTTACATCAGATTCATCAGTGGCACCAAACCCAGAAACCAAACAGCTGTTTCAGAATTCCTGCTCCTGGAACTGACAGATGATCCGACACTGCAGCYGCTTCTCTTCAGCCTCTTGCTGTCCATGTACCTGGTCACGGTGCTTGGGAACCTGCTCATCATCTTGGCCATCAGCTCTGACTCCCACCTCCACACCCCCATGTACTTCTTCCTCTCCAACCTGTCCTTGACTGACATCTGCTTGAGCACAATCACCATCCCCAAGATGCTGGTGAACATCCAAGCCCAGAGTCGGAGCGTCTCCTACACAGGCTGCCTCTCCCAGGTCTTCTTTTTCTTGTTTTTTCTTGTCTTGGAAAATTGTCTCCTCACAGCAATGGCCTATGACCGCTATGTGGCCATTTGTCACCCCCTGATGTACACCATCATCATGAATCCTTCCCTCTGTGTGATGYTSSTTCTGATCTCCCTCTTTCTCAGCACTGTGAATAGCCTCCTCCACACTCTGATGGTGCTGCGACTGTCCTTCTGCACAGACCTGGAGATCCCTGACTTCTTCTGTGAACTTTCTCAWGTCATTAAACCTGCCTGTTCTGATACCCTCATCAATCATATTTTGATTTATTTTTCCTCTGTCATATTGGGTGGTAGTGCTCTCTTTGGGATCATTTTTTCTTATGCTCAAATTGTCTCTTCTCTATTGAGAATGCCATCAGCTGGGAGAAAATATAAAGCCTTTTCCACCTGTGGGTCTCATCTCTTAGTGGTCTCCCTGTTCTATGGCACAGGTTTTGGTGTATACCTTAGCTCGGTGACTGAGTCATCCAGGAAGACAGCAGTGGCTTCAATGATGTACTCTGTGGTCCCTCAAATGCTGAACCCCTTTATCTACAGCCTGAGGAACAGGGACATGAAGGAGGTTTTGGGAAAAATATTTTGTAGGACAACATTTTTAAGGTGTTTTTCACCATAATCAAACCAAGTTTCCAGGATGTATCTAAATATCTATTTAGCACTCTTCTGTAAAACTTTTAAGTATTTCCTTATGAGATAAAGCACTTTTAAAAAAAGAATTTAACCTTTATTTATTTGAAGTTGATTTGTTTTTATTTGGTGCTGAGGCTCCAACCCAGGGCCTCATCCATCTTAGGCAGGCACTCTACCACAGAGCCACAACCCCAGCTCCTAAAGCACTTTTATGTGGAGAAATTTCACATTCTTGCTTAGATTTATTCCCAAGGGTTTTATATTTTTGAGAATTCTGTGAATGGGATAGGTTTCCTGATTTCTTTTTCAGCAGTTTTTTTTTCTGAATCTCTTGAGATAATCATCGGGTTTTTATTCCAGATTCTACTTATAAATATATTATATATATTGGGGCTGRGGATGTGGCTCAAGCAGWAGCGCACTCGCCTGGCATGCGTGCAGCCTGGGTTCGATCCTCAGTACCACATACAAATAAAGATGTTGTGTCTGCTGAAAACTAAAATAAATATTAAAAATTCTCTCTCTCTCTGTCTCTCTCTCTCTTTTTAAAAATATATATATTATATATATTGATTTGCATATTTGAAATCAATCTTACATCCTTGGAATGAAACAAAATTGAGCACAGTGTATGATCTTCTTAATTAAYGTGAGGTTGAATTCAATTAGCAATCATTTTATTGAGGGCTTTTATATCTATGTTCATTAAGTATTTGGGGCCATTTTTTTCTTTGTTGTATACTTAATGAGATTTTGGTAGCAGGGTAACACTGGATTCTTAATATGAATTTGGAAGACTTCATTTTCTTTCTATTTTATGGAATAGTGAAGCATTGATATTAGTTCTTCCTTTAAAATCTGGAGAAATTCTATAGTGAGTCTGTTCGGTCCTGGGCTTTTTTTGGTGGGGAAACATTATATTACTGGTTCAAGATCATTATATGTTATTCCCCTATTTATGCTTTTCTGTCCTCTTTGTTCCATCTGGTAGGTCATACATGTCCAAAAATTAATCAATTTCTTCAAGATTTTTCATCATGTCCAGGATTTGGAAAATTTTCTATTTTCTCACTGAGTAGGTATTCTATGTCATTAGCATGTAACTCAAATCCCTCATTTAATCCTATGATTCAGGCATTTTGTCTTCTAACGTTTTCCCAGAGATCCCCATATCATTTTATCAAAGTTGCTTTTCTGTGTTCAATACTGTCTGAAGTCATAGATCATTTACCTTTTCTTYAATCCCTGATATTCTCTCTTTCAATTTATCTAGCCCACTGGGAATACATTCAATTGAGGTTTGTTTGTTTGTTTGTTTATACTGGGGATTGAACTCAGGGGCACTCGACCACTGAGTCACATCCCCAGCCCTATTTCATATTTTATTAAGAGACAGATCTCACTGAGTCACTAAGTATTCTCTTTAAAATCAGGACTAAGACAAGGATGGCCATTCTCACCACCTCTAATCAATATAATTCTCAATACCCAGTTAGAATGGCAATCATCAAGAATTTAAATAATAAAAAATGCTCGTGAGAATGTGGAGGGAAAAGTACACTCACATATTGTTGGTGTGACTGCAAATTAGTTCAACCAATTTGGAAAGCAATATGGGAATTCCTTGAAAGACTAGGAATGGAACCACCATATGACCCAGCTATTGTAACCCACAGTATTTATCCAAAAAAACTAAGATCAACATACTATCATGATATAGACACATCAGTGCTTATAGATGTGTGATTCACAATAGCCGAATTATGGAATCAGGCCAATTGTCTGTCCACAGATTAATAGAGAAGAAAATGTGGTATATACACACAATGRTGTTTAAGTCATAAAAAGGAAGTAATGGCATTTGCTGATAAATTAATAGGAGAACCACAGGGTAAATAAAATAAGTGAGACCCAGAAAGTCAAGGGTCAAATGTTTTCTCTMATACGTGAAAGCTACAGAAAAATAAGGAGAAAAGTGTGGTGGGCAGTTACATGAAAATATAAGAGAGATCAGTGGAGTAGATAAAGAGAATTCAGGAGGCAGGAGGCAGGAGGAGGGATGGGGAAAGGGAGGGAACTGCAGAATAAAATTGATCAAATTATGCTCTGTACATATATAACTATACCACAGGGAGTTCCACATGTATGTATATCTTCAAAGAACTAATTTAAAAACAATCAATAAATGCAAGATGGACCAAAAGAGTAGAGGGGAAGGAGGAAAGGAGAGGAGGTGGAAGTACTGGGAACTTAAATGCTGCAAATCTTGATCCATATATGTGTGATATGTGTGATTATGTAAAAATAAAYCCTAATATTATGTGTAAGCATCATATACTAATAAAAATATTTTAAAAGACATTAAGGAATTCAACAAGTTCAAAATGACACAACTTATTTAATGAATTTATTTAATAAATTTTGCTTGCTTACCTAATAAGGGTGACAAAAATCATGCAGTTGAATCCTGTGAAAAAGCCAGTATGTTGGCACACATGACCCATGACTGTCCATTTCAAAGGATTCAGGGAAATCAAATAACATTGAAAAGAATAAATATAAATTTCAGTGGAGCTGTTTCCTGGAAGAGGAGCRGGGAAGATGGAACTGCAGGATTCGTTACACATATTCTATCTTTATTTTTAACCTGATTTTCTGTATGGTTTTTTGTTTTGTTTTGTTTTTTGTTTGGGTGGTGCTGGGGATTGAAGCAGGGCCTTGTGTTTGCTAGGTAAGCACTCTACCAACGGAGCTATAACCCCAGCCCCTGTACGTTTTTTATTACATTACAACACAGTTAAGCCTGCAGGTAAGTTTTATACACTAAGTGTCTAATACTTGACGGTATGTTGATTGAGGCACATAGAAATGCGTTCTCTTTTGTTCTGGAAACATTAACACCGGTTTTCCCACACTTGAGAGCCTCAGAACCTCACAAAGGGCTGATTTATGAATCACTACTTTAGACATCTCCACAAAGATTCAAACTCAACAGTTCTTGAGTGAGATCAGTATGAACATGGTCCTCAGGCGACACCCCTGAAGGTGCTCTGTGGTCACCAGGGGAGGAAGCTCTGCTCTGGAGGAGACCATAGGGATGGCAGGGAGCTGTCCACCAATGGTGGTGCTGAACACTCTTCCTGTGCCTCACCTCTTGCACCAGTGACAGGCTCTCATATTCTCCTGTGAGATTTCATTTCCACACCTGGAGAGATGGCTCTAAGTAGCCTTTTTTGTTTGTTGGGAAGTAATGATCTTTAATCCTACCTGCTTGTTTTCTCTTTCACTGCTTTTTTTTTTTTTTTAAAAAAAAAAAACAACCACCTAATATCTCCTCTAAAATGAACATCTTTCTCCACAGGGGAAAAAATACAAATACAACATTAAAAAGTTTTGTATGAGAGTCCTAAATGTTCACTGGATGCACTTTGGAAAGCTGACTTAAATCTCATGACCATCACCTGAAGAATGTTAGTCTACTTAATTTTTTCCTCAAAGCTTCCCTCATATCCCTGTTTCTCAGGCTGTAGATAAAGGGGTTCAGCATTTGAGGGACCACAGTGTACATCATGGAAGCCACTGCAGTCTTCCTGGRKGASTCWGTCACTGCAGAGCTAAAATACACACCAAAACCTGTGCCATAGAACAGGGAGACCACTAAGAGGTGAGACCCACAGGTGGAAAAGGCTTTATATTTTCTTCCAGCTGATGGCATTCTCAACAGAGAAGAGACAATTTGAGCATATGAGAAAATGATTCCAAACAGAGAACTACCAGCCAAAATAATAGAGAAAAAATAAACCAAAATGTTATTGATGAGGGTATCAGAACAGGCAGGCTTGATGACCTGAGCAAGTTCACAGAAGAAGTGGGGGATCTCCAAGTCTGTGCAAAAGGACAGCCGCAGGACCATCAGTGTGTGCAGCAGGGCATCCACAGTGCTGATGAAGAGAGAGATCAGAACCAGCATCACACAGAGAGAAGGGTTCATGATGATGGTGTACATCAGAGGGTGACAAATGGCCACATAGCGGTCATAGGCCATTGCTGTGAGGAGACAATTCTCTAAGACAAGAAAACACAAGACAAAAAAGACCTGGGAGAGGCAGCCTGTGTAGGAGATGCTCGGACTCTGTGCTTGGATGTTCACCAGCATCTTGGGGATGGTGCTTGTGCTCAAGCAGATGTCAGTGAAGGACAGGTTGGACAGAAGGAAGTACATGGGGGTGTGGAGGTGRRGRTCAGAGYTSACRGYCAGGATGATGAGCAGGTTYCCCAGGATGGTGACCAGGTACATGGCCAGGAACAGGCTGAAGAGGAGGGGCTGCAGKGCTGGGTCCTCTGTCAGTCCCAGGAGGAGGAATTCTGAAACAGCTGTKTGGTTTCTTGGTTCCATGCTAACAATGAATCTAAAGCAAAAGATGGGTGACATGACAGGTAAAGTTCTGAATCCTGGGCCCATGCAGCAATAGCATGACCTAGAGACTTGTTAGAAATGCTGATATGTGGACCCCACAGCAGGACTACAGATAATGAACTCTGGGGATGAGGATCAGCAGTACATGATTTAACAGACTCCCTCACGTGCTAATGTTTGAGGATTGCTGCTCAGGCTTCTCTCTTTTAAAGGAAAACCCAAATGAATACAGAAATCCTTCCCTTTTCATCTTCCTTACCTTCCTCCCTRTACACATTTATTCACCCTAGTTTTTATTGAGAATTAACTTTCTCAAACCTGGTGAAGAATGCTGAGAATGTAATAAATAGAGATGACTCTTCTGTTTCAGAACYATTGTTTGCTTTCAAAATATATGTATATATATATATATATATACACAAAATTATGAAGTCTGTCACATCCTTAGTGAATTTATTTCTGTATGGCGGTAGGTGGCAAATGATTGAAAGAAACAAAAATAACAAGGGAAGAACCTAAATGTGTGGGCTTGTAAAAATGCACAAAAAGCAACAATTTGTGTTCAGAAG